GCACGGGCAGAGGGCTGGCATCTGTACTTGCGCCCGACTGGAGAGCTGGTGCACGCTGGCAGCTCAAAAAGACCTGCGAAATAATGATTCCAAAAAAAAAAAGAAAAAGGCAAGGAAAAAATAAACCCTGCTAAAAGGCCTCCTGTTGTCCTAGCAGAGCTAGGTCTCAAATCGTTATAATCTATTTGTGAAGCCGTTGCTGCTTTTGGGAAAAAAAAAAAAAAAAACACAAAAACTGTTAGTTAATCTTTGCAGGGCCAGGTCTGCCTCGATATCCTGTTGGAGCAGCCTCTGGGCCGGGGGTCCAGGGCACAACCGTGGTGCTGCTGCTGCTAATAATAACACAATAAGGAGTTTACCCGCTCTGATCCGGCTAAAGACAGCGGCGAGGCTGGCACTGACACGATCAGCCCCCGGCCTGTCCCCACGTCTGCCAGATAAAGCTCACACGACAAAGGGCCGGGCAGCGGAGCAGAGATGTGGTCCAGCTTTTTTGGGGAGCGGGCGCACGGGGGGATTTGGGGAGGGCTGCAGAGGGACCGGGCTGTAGGGATCTGCAGAGGGCAGGGTTTGAAGCCGAGCAGCGCACGCCAACACGGCTGAGGCCAGGGTGTTCTCATTTCCTTTGCTCTCCGAGTTATAATTTGTTCCACATTGCAGTGCCGGGGCGGCCTCTCCCTCCGCTGGCAGCATCCGAGCTGCGGTCGTTTCCATTATACCAAGGCTGCGAATCCGAGCGGTTTCCGTTAAAAAGAAAAAAAAAAAAAAAAGAAAAAAAAAAAAGGGAAATTTTCAAATAGGGATCTGAGCAAATAGCTTTTCTGGGATGGTCACAGCTGAAATCTCGCTGCCCATCTGCAGCCGCGTGGAGCTGCCTCTGCCTTGGGACGAGCCCTGGGGAAATTCCAGCAGATTAAAAAGTGCTTTAATGGTGCTGCTGCTCTTCCCAGGAGGCAGTAAGATGACCTGGTAGCTACAGGTTGATTGGCTTGATATCATCCCCCCGGGGAGGAGGAGGAGGAGAAACCTAGCTCAGGCTTTGATTGATTAAAGGCTTGAGCACCAGGAAGAAATTCCTGCCACCCAACGTGGCCGCGTGGAAAATAACTCCTGGCGAGTAGAAACGATTTCATTCTCTGACAAGAGAGGTGACTCTGGATGTAACACACTTTTATGCAGCGTTTGAGTTATGTGATGTGATATTCGTATAGAAATCTGCACTCTGCAGTATTAAAAAAAATCAGTCCAGTATTTAGAGCTGGCATTACGCAGCATTGAGAAAGCCCGTATTGAATAAACCCGATCCATTTCAAAGGCAGTTATCAGAGGAGATTATCACTGCTGGGCACTGCTGGCTGGTAGCACGCCCTCGGTGTGTCGGTGCCTTCATCACTAATCGGGAAGGAGATCCAGGAGATTTCTGGAGAAGCCTGTGGCTCGCGCAGAGCAGTGCAGTGGTAATGGGGTGGACAAATAGGGGCTGCGAGCTGGGCAAGCGAAAAGCATCCTAATTAAAGGCGAGCGGAAAATGGAAATATTTCTTTGTGCCCAAAACCAATAACTGGAGTTTTACACGTTTTCCTGTCCCTAATCTGGGCGATGAATTGAGCACTCACTGTTTCGATGCTGGGAGAGGCTGAGCGGGGGCTCCTCATCTCCCCGCATCCAGCAGGAGCTGGATTTCTGTGCTGGAAAAAAAAATGAAAAAACAGATTAATAGAAATTTTACTCTGAAAATAAATAAACAACAAACACTGAAATCAGCCATTTACAGTACTAGTATATTCTGTACAAATGCACTACCAGGACTGCATTTGAGCTTGTGGCAGCCAAAACCATCTTTTACTTTGCAGTGGGGAGATGCCAGACCCCTCGCGAGGGATGGAGGGGCTGCACAAAGCGCCTTGCAGCAGGAGACGAGAGCAGCACCCATTAAATCCACTTATCGATAAAATCAAGGGGGCAGGGGGCTTGATCAAAGCCTCTAAATGCTCTCACGGAGGAGAAAACACATGATAGCCGAAAGCTCGTTAATTGAGCAGCGCAAAGCACGAGGAGAATCAATGCCTGGCAGCCGAACTGGACGGCAGGCATAAATATTTAAGCAGCAGGAGCGATTAATCACAGAAGCAGCCACGAGAGGCGGCGGTGGGGGGCTCAGCACCTCTCTGCCTGGCAGAAAGTTCCTTCCATAGCCCCCACGTGGGGCTGGCCGCAGGGGCTGGGCTGAGCCCGCTCCCAGCCCTTCGTTAGGTGAGTTAATTAGGTGGTGCTTCGGTTTTTAATCTCGCAGAGAAGAGCCTGCCTTGTGCCCTGCTGCCTCTTTCCAAGAAATGCTCGTGAAATCGGCACAGGCACCTGGCAGGTGCTGCTTCTGCCTTCCAGTTTTTGTTACCCCTGGTCCTGTTCCTGCAGATTCGTGACAAGGAGGGTGAGGGGATGGTGCTTGGTGCTCAGCAAGGTACCCAGTAAAAATAAATCCTGGTGAGCATCCATCCCAGCAGCTGGGGGAAGGAGCTGGTGCAGGATGCGACGTCCTCTGAATGCGGGGTCCCCAGCCTGGTGTCCCCACCAGGGCATGGGAGGGGGAGTTGAGGGTCATGGGCTTGGTGCTGGTCCCATCTCTTTCTGATAATCTCTTTTCTCTCTCCCCTTCCTCCTGGGATCACTTCTCCTCTTTTTCTTGTAGGACACCCGCAGGACAATGCGCAACGGGGGAAGGCTCATGCTAAGGAGGGGGACAGATGGAAGGACAGGCGGGGTGTGAGAAGGATGGCAAGGTAAGGGGGGCTTCGTGCAGGGTGAGGGGGCCAGGAAGGAGGTGTGGATGAAGCAGAACCCTTGGGACAGCAAGTCTCAGTGAGGCTTTTGGGGCCAATCCTCAGCCCTGAGGGCAGGGTGCAAGCACAAACCATGTCCCAGCCCCACCTGCTAGGTAGGGCTCTCACCCCAGCTTCCACGACCCAGGCAGCAGCAGAGTACCAGGGACATGGCCACCGTCTCCTCCCCCTCTCTGGAGCTCCAGTACCTCTCCTTCAGAGCCACAGGGCTGTAAAAAGCACAAACCTGAGTATTTTCACAGTCCTCATGGCACCGGGACATCTCTGGGTGGGAGAGGGATGGCAGTGAGCAGCTGGCTCCCAGGCTCATCCTGGGGTTGTGGCTCTTGCCCATGCCTCAGTTTCCCCGTCTGTGGGGGAAAGCGCCCCCGGCCCTGGAAAAGGAAGCTTTACACCCTGCAGAAATCATCTGTGCACAGCAGCAAGGCTGCTTCTGGGTGAGAAGGTGACCTCTTCCATTAGCAGCAGGGATGCTTTCTCTTCCCGAATTAGATGGTGGTTTGGAGGCTGTCCAGGGCTAGCACCACTCTGCCTGATAGCGCTGGGGCTGCTGCACGGCCAGGATCCTGCTCAGGCAAGACAGTGCTGCGGATGCAGAGATGCATCCCACACCTCTGTGGCCGAATCATGCTGAGCACAGCCTCAGTGGCACATTTTGGAGATCTGAATCAAATCCCTGCCCATGCACGGGAGCTGTGCACACCTCAGGCACTGACACCTCCCAGCAGGGCAGTGCATTATCGGGCTGGAGGTGAGGGAAATCCCTGTCCTGTCCGAGGCAGAGAGGCATAAATTCCTCCTGGAACGCCCCCAGCAGCGGTTTGGGATGCAGCCGGCGGCATTATCAGCGCCGTGCAAGCACCGGGTGGTTTTGCATCCAGGATGCGATTTCAGAGCTGGCCCCAGATGTTGGCGGGGACATCAAGCAAGAAAAAAATCCAGCTGGCTGCTCCACCGCGGGCTTGCTCCAGGGAACCGGCTGTTGTTTTCAGGTGGAGGGGTTTTATGGTGTGCATGGGCTTTTTTTTTTTTTTTTTCTTTCCCCTCCAGTGGAAGCAGACGACAAATTCACATTTCAGACACCACAGTTGGCGATGCCGCCGTGTGCTTTAACGTCCTCTGCACACCAGCAGCAGCCAGAAGATTTGCTGGAGTAAGGATGTTTTTGGGAAGGCTAATTAAAGCCCATTTTCACCCTGCGCCTCTCGGCGAGCGAAAGCGTTTAGCAGTGACCTCAGACTAATTCAATTTGCACTTGAGCTTTCTGTTTCACCTCTAAAAAAAGAGATGGGATTGCTCCATAAACTCGTTAGAGAAAGTGACTCCCGAAGCGTTGGCTCCTAACCAGGAGCTCCTCACCGCTGGGCTCTGCTGAGCCCCGCTGCAGATAAGCACGTCCTGGCTCAGCAAGAGGGACCTCTTAATATGCGTGATGGAAATTAACTTTTCAGGGACAAAGCCATCCTGCGGTAACCGTGGGGATGCTGAGGAGCCTGGCTGGGCTCGGTCGCTGATATTCAAGGCTGCCTAAGGGAGATCTCCTTCCCTCCTTGCTGTGCTTTTCCCACTTGGAGGTGGCTGCTCGCTACCCAAATCCCTCGTTTCTCCCTTTTTCCAGACCCCTGATTTCTTTTCCCCCTTTTTCCCCAGCCGCGCCCCATGACCACGTCCCGCACCATGTTCTACGGATCCTCCTCCACCATGGCTCCGCCGTCCAAGAGCCGCCTGAAGCGCCAGAGCCGCCTCCTGTCCCAGGTCCTGCAGCGCACGCTGAGCTACAAGGACCGCAGCCCAACCTCAGCATCCCCCGCAGCCAGCGGGGACGACCCGGCCGAGCTCTCCACCCAGCTCTCAGCCCCGGGCGTCCTGAAGATTTTCGGGGGCAACATCTGCGCGGGGACCAACTACAAGAGCGTGCTGGCCACGGGCAGCTCGGGCGCCCGGGAGCTGGTGAAGGAAGCCCTGGAGCGCTACGGGCTGAGCCAGCTGGGCGCCGGGCACTACGCGCTGTGCGATGTCATCGGCCGCTTCGAGGGTCCCGAAAAGCGGTGGCACACCGAGGGGCTCAGGGTGCTGGGGGACCACGAGAAGCCGCTGCTCATCCAGGACCTCTGGAAGCCCAGGGAGGGCTTCTCGCGGCGGCTGGAGCTGCGCAGGAGGGCGGAGGTGGAGGAGATGGCAGCCAGGGATGTGGACACCACCACGGCAGGTCAGCGGGCGCACCGGGGGCTTCACGGGGGATTTGGGGTGGTGCTGGGACCAGGTGGGACAGGAGATGTGTTTTGGCTGTGGTGCTCTTGGTAGTGTTGGTACTTGGCACGCTGTGGGGAAATTCGGGACCTGTGACCTGAAATATTCACCCCAGCATAGGAGCAATTAAGCTAAATGAGAAGATAATGAGGAGAGAGTGATATAGGGCAGCAGAGCCCCCCCAGAGGTGCCTCATCTCCCCCTGCCACCCCTCACCATGAGGTTATCACAAGGAACCAACAGGTTTATCCGTGGCCTGAGCACAGAGGAACCGAGATTTCCTCCTCCCACCCTCAGCTACAAGCCCACGAGGATGAGGATGGAAAGGTTTACGTCAGGTTTTTAATTGCACAGGGTCCTCCGTGGGCCTGACCTGGTGACGAAGGGCTCTGGTGAGGCTCAGGAGATGCTGGCCAGGGGCTGTGCCAGGCAGGATGCCACGAGGGTGGGCACGAGCAGTCCCTCAGGTCTGTAGGACTGGGCAGGAGCTAAAGGGACCCAGCTCCCCCATGCAGCAGGAACCAGCTTCCCCTGCATGGACAGGGGCAGCTTTAAGGATCATTTTTCACATTTTTTTTGGCAGTCATCAAGCAAGTCCCAATACATTTTATCTCCCCCTTTTAAAAGCAAACAGAATAGCCGAACCACGAGCCTGGGCATGCTGAAGGCAGACCCTGCTGGGGCCCCGTGGCTGGAACTCGTTTTACTTTTCAGTCCAGGTTCCCCCAAACCCCAGGGGAAGGTATATATGATGGGGAGGAAGGAATAACAGCCCCCAGACCATGCTGTAATGCATGTGCCTGCTGGTCAGAGCCCCCTCCTCATCCCTCCATCACTCCCTGTGCCCACCCGGGGCAGGGAAGGGATGCTGGAGAGCTGCTCCTGGCTTGCAGGATGCACAGAGAGAGCAAGGGGCAGCTGCCACTCACCTTGGGGTCAAGGATAAAGCCACAGAGGTGGATGCTCTTCTCTTCTCCAGCTGGGATTGGAGATGTGAAGTGCTTCAGAAGAGCAGTGACAAAAAAAAAAGTTTTTAAATAGAAAAAGAGGGCAAGATCTAAGCGCAATAGCTACAGGCAGACAGCTGCATGTGGGGGCAGAGCTGTGCTGCAGCCCTTCAGAGGGTCCCTGTGTGAGCCCGAGGTGTCACCAACCCCTAGTGCCCAGGTCCCCGGCTGGGACATGGGGCAGCAGCGCTCACACCTCGAGCTGGGCACCACGGGGAGGTCGTGGCCCCTGCACGGCCACGGGAGAGGCTCTGTGCTGTATGGGCTCCCCAGGGAGGAGCAGTGCCTGGCCTCAGCGTGTGACATGTCTGGGAATACAAGGTTAGAAGATGGATGGCTGTACATCAGAAATACATCTTCTGTCTGGGCAGGGTGGTGGGTTTCAAACCCTGAGACATTTTCTGCAGTTGAAAAAAAAAAAAAAAAAATCAAACAAAAAACCAACCACCCAACACCCAGAGTTACGTGGGCAGTTGCTCTATGGACTTACCTGTTAAAATCCCACTGCTGCAGCATTTTCTTTCAGTGGCACCACCCCCATCCCACACCGGTGGCATTATCCCCAAGGGACATTGCACAGGGACACTTCTCCACCCCATCCACGCGCTGCTGGGGTACATGGGAACAAGCCATCTGCTTCCAGCAGCGCCTCAAAAAGAAATAAAAGCCTTAGCGTGATGGGGGCTGAGTGCCACCCACCAGGGTCACCCCCACCGCCAGCCTCAAGGTCCCCTTGCCACAAGCTGAGCACCAGCTGCCAGCCTAGGGCAGCAGGGCACTGGGGTGGAAAATGCAGCTTCTGTGCAAAAATAAAGAGAATTTGGGCTTGGGGTGACCTAGGAAAAAAGCATGGGGGTGCTGCAAAGTGAGACCCCAAGGGAAGTACCCACGGGGACCTTCTGCATGTAGGGATGGCGCATTGCAGCCTGCCCTACTGCTGAGCCCAAGGCTTGGGGAAAGGCCCTGCACCCATCTGTGACCTGTCAGCACCTGGCTTAAGAGTTTTATCTGCTCATTTAGCCATTATCCTAATTGGTTTATTAGCTGCTGCGCAGTGGGGAGGAAGGTGCTCGCTCCTCACACCGCTAATTAGCAGTGCTCTGTGCTAAACGAGGCTGATGGCCTCCCTCCTGAGACCTCCAACCCCTCAACTTTTGGGGAGCAATGAGGCAGCAAATAGGGAGCACGTGGGGTGTTTGGGGGAGCACCCAAAAACTGGGGGTGCAGCGCTCAGCTTCACCGAAACTGCCCCATTTTGCCCCGTGTCCCGAGCTCGTGGGGGCTTTCCCGGGAACAAATCATGCCTGGGTCCCACAGAGTTATTTATTTATTGACTGATTTACGTGGCCAGGAACAGGGACCCTCTTTCCCAGGCTGAAAAAGAGGCAGTTCCCAGCCAGGCTCTCGAGCACCAAAACCCGCAGGATTTCCCCCAGGATGCAGGAGGGGTTTTGGAGGCAGCAGCTTGGCGACGCTTGCCTGATTTTTTGGGTGGGATCACCCACAAATGCTGGCGAGGAGAAAACAGCACTAGAGGACCGAAAATAAAACAAAATAACCTGGTGTGTAGATGGAGTTTGTTACGCTCAGGAAAAGGGCCGTGTTTATCTTTCCAGTGCAGCTCCGGGGTTAGCGGGGTGCCGGGGGCTCTGCTGGCAGTGCAAAAGCAGCTTTTTCCTCCGTGGTTTTCCTACACAAAGTAAACACAGAAGCTTCCTTCCCCCCAGATAAGGGGGCAGCGATGGCGTGTCCCCAGGCCCCACAGCTCCCGGTGCCCCCCCGGTGCCAGGAGCTGGAGTTGGTGCCACCGGCAGGATCCGGCCCCTCTTGGGCTCGGGCACGGGCTGTGGGGTGAGCCGTGGCCACCTGCAGACCCCTGGGGATGGCCACAAGTGTCCTCAGTGCCTTGGGTCCGCTGGTACCCGGGCATGCTTGTTGCACCCCCGAATTTCACATCTGGGGGGTGCAGGTGGGGCAGAGGCGCTGCTGCGGCCCCGTAACGTGGGATGGGACCTGTAAGGGGTGAGGGGACCTATAATATAGGATGGGACCCGTAACTCAGGATGGGACCCTGCCCGAATCCCAAGGCATGTAAGCAGCAGGGGCTATTTTCTCCCTCTCCCACCCCCCCTTCCCCATCCCCATCATTTTCCCAGCAAAGGAGCGCTCGACTTAAAACAAACAAACAACAAAATGTATTTCGGTACCGGCGGCCCGTTCCTCACCAAATAAGGCAGATGATGTTGTTTTTTTTTCGGGGGCTGAACCTTGTCAGCATCCCTTTAAGCAGCCCCAGGAGCCCGGCTCTCCGCTCAGCCGTCCCCAAATCCCACCGTCTGTCCCCAAAAACCTTCTCTCGGTGCCTGGCCGGAGCAGCGGAGCTGCGGGCAGGGCTCTGGCTCGGCGCTGCACCGACGCTGCCGCAGCACAGCTCCCGCAGGCAGAGCCTTCAGCCTTGCCCCTCTTCATCCTCCTCCTCCTCGGCCAGCCCCGAATGCCAGCGCCCTGCTCCCGGGAGGCTGCCCACCAAAGGTACGAGCCGGCCGCTGACCCCACAACTTCTTCTTATTGCTGCCGGAGCCCAGCGGGCAGCCTGGGGATGGGAAGCGGTGGGGGGGGTCCCGAGGGAGCCCCCGTGCTGGGGAGGCCGCTGCTTCGGTGGCTGGGCCAGGCCTGACTTATTCATTCGTCCTGCAGACAGCGCTGCCCGGATTGATGCTTGGGAGAAGTTAATTACTGCTCGCTCCTGCGGCAGGCGAGCGGGCAAGGCTCTGCTGCAGCTCCCTGCCTGCCTGGGGGGGCTCCCTGCAGCCCCCACCCTCTGCTGCTCATAAGCCAGAAGGCAGCATCCAGGCTCTATTTTTTTTCCTCTTTTATTTTATTTTTTTTTTTTAAAGATTGAGGTTGTAAAGCTTCCCTTTTCGCACAGCTTTCCTCTCCCCCCCCCCCCGAGCCCCGGCAACACGGGGGATGCTGAGCCCCTCCCCGTCCACCCCCTGCTCCGTGGGGGTTTGGGGTCGTGGGGCTGGGATCCCTCTTTTTGGTGATGGGGAGGGAAAGGGGGGAGGGGCACAAAACTCCCCAGTTTGCTGCCCTACAGTTGGGGTTGGACACGGGGTGGGCAGTGGGATGCCAACCCTGGGGGGGGGGCCGCTCTTCAGCTGCGCACCCCAGGGCCCCACCGCATCCCTCTGGCACCTGGGATGCTGCTGGGACAGCATCAGGGCTCCTGGGACACCATTATGGCATTTGGGACATCCTCGGGGCTTCTCCTCCCGCAGGCATCAACGCCCAAGCTCGGAAACTGCAGCGGCACCGGGCCCGGGGGGCCATGCGGGTGCTGGCGGGGGCTAAGCGGCTCAGCACCCCCCCGGCCCTGCGACGCAGCCTCAGCGAGAGCAGCCTGGGCCGCCCGGCGTCGCGGGACGAGGAGCAGCTCCGCAGGCACTGCTCCACCTTGCCCGACAGCCTGCGGGCTCCGGCCAGCCCTCGGGGCCCCGCGGCGGAGGAGCAGGAGCGCAGCGGGAGCAGCATGCGGTACTCCCTCTACCAGTCCCCGCACCTCCTGCTCCTGCAGGGCTACAGCCAGCAGCATGTAAGCACCGCGCAAGCCTTCCCGCTCACCCCCCTGGCATTTTTTTTTTTCCTTCCCTTCTGTGCTTTTAGGGCACCCCTCCACGCTCCTAAATCCGCGGGGATGGGGAGCTGCTTGCATGGCTGGAGCTGCTGGGGTGGGGTCGTGGGGTGGGTGGAAAGGGCAGAGGTAAGGGAATCAAAAGCACCCAGCTGGGTTGAGATTTTTTTGGGGAGCTGGCTGTGGAGCCATAGGGAAAGCCCTGGAGCTGCATCCCTGCCCTGGTGCGAGGCAGACCCAGTTCTGCAGGAGGAGGGCTGGGAGCTGCCCCGGCCCCGTCTGGCTGCCTCGTTACTGGCACACGTAATGAGAGGCAGTGATGAGACATGTCTGGGTGCCTCTGCGCCCCAGCCCGGGAGGCACTGGGAGAACTGGAAAGGACTGGGACAACTCTTTTGGTTAATGGCTACTTTGTCCAGGCTGAATATCTGGCTAGTCCGAGATTTCCAGCTCTGTTTTGGCGCTGCAGCTCTCATCAGTTGCTGCAAGCCCATTAAACACCCGGGGAAACTGAGGCACGGGGCGGTTCTGTGCTCTGCTGCGGGCAGGGACAGGGGCTGGGAGGGGGCAGCTGCCCCAGGGCCCCTGTCCTCACCTGGGCACGCAGGTGGGATGTGGATGGGGGGCTCCTCCTGCCCTGAGCAGCCCCAGAGCCGCCCCATTCATCGCGTGCACAAAGCTCCTGCACCCACGTAGCAGCGTGCCCAAAGCAGCCCCGCTTGTTGGGCTCAGTGCTGAGCGCTTTTTCCCCTTTTAAACAAAGAAATCGTCAAAGAAATGCACGTCGGGGTGCAGGAGTTACGGGGGGCACGCACCTCCTCCTGCACCACTCACGCTTCTCACGGGGCAAGGAAAATAAAGAGAGGGCTGTGGTTCTGCTGGAGCGAGGTGCGGGCAGCGGGGGGGTCTCAGCACATCCCGCACAGCCCCCCCTGCTCACACCGCGTGTCCCCCGCTCGGCAGGACAGCCTGGTGTACCTGCTGAACCGCCAGCAGCACACGGTGGGCCAGAGGACTCAGGCGAGCAAACCCAGCATCAGCCTGTCTGCCCCGGACATCCTGCCCCTGCACTGCACCATCAGGAAGCTGCGAGCGTCCCGGCACCTCTCCGAGGAGCAGCTGGTGCTGGAACCCAGCGCCGGTGCCGGCGTCTCCATCAATTTCTGCCAGGTGGCCCGGACGGCCGTGCTGCGGCACGGGGACCTGCTGTCCCTCGGCCTCTACTATTTGCTCCTCTACAAGGACCCCACGAAGGCTCAGCCTCTGCCGGCACAAACCCTGCTGCGCCTGCGGGCGCTGCACCCCGAGGGCCCCCCCGTCTGCGGGGCGTGCGGCAGCCTGCTGAAGGAACGGGGTTTTTCGGGGGCTCCTTCCAAAAAACGGGGGCCTTCGCCCACCGGCGGCCCCAGGGCTCCCCGCAGAAAGCTGATGTTGGAGTTTGATCCGGCGGCTGAGGACGTGCTGCTGCGGCGCATCGTGACCCTGATCGAGCCGGGGGGGGACGACCACAAGCTGACCCCCGCCTTCCTGCTCTGCCTCTGCATCCAGCACTCGGCCACCAGCTTCGAGCCCGGAGACTTTGGGCAGCTGCTGCTCAAAGCGGCCAAAATGATCCAGAGGACGGTGTGGGTCAGTCACTTGGGGGGCAAAAGGGTGGGAGCAGTGGGGACCCCCCCCAGGCTTCCCCAGCCTGGTCCCCACGTGCGGCCGATGCCCCTGATGCTGTTGGGGCGATGCTCCCCTCGTGGACCCCATCCCCAGGTCATCACCCGTGCTTTCTCCTTCTCTCCCTGCCCAGGAGCGGACGCGGGAGCTGGCTGAGAAGCAGTCCCAGCAGTAAGTGCCACCCACCTCCCCTCCTGGCCCTGCCCCAAAACGGGGGGAATTCAGCCCAGTTCTCCCTCCGCAGCCGGGTGTAACCACCCCGGTGCCCGCCCAGCCTGCCAGCAGTGCTGCACACCGCGTTTTTCTGGCTAAATCCCACATATTTGGCTCTCTGGCCCTTTTTGCCAAGGTGCCTGCAAAGCCCCTGCTTGGGAACGTGGGGCTGGGAGAGCTCGGTGGGGACGGGACCCGCAGCAGCTTTGGGACTTCTCCTGCTCAGGACCTCACCCAAACGGGACCCAAATTCCCTGGGGACGCAGCTGGGCTGGCCTTTACTATAGCAGGAAAAAGTGGTTCAGGCGTTGAGAAACTTCCCAGATGTTTTTTATTTGGGTTGTTTTATTTTTGAACGGCCCGGCATGGGCAGGCCGGGTTTAACCGCCCGGAGCTGGCAGGCGCCGTGCATATTTCTCGGGGAAGGAAAACCTTCCTCAGCCACGGGCGCTTCCTGCAGCTGAGCTGGGCCCATGCTGGGGGGTGCCCCAAAAAAACGCCAGGTTCCCCCTTTGCCATCCCACAGAGCCACCAAATTGATGTGTGCAAAGGGTTTTCCTAAGCAGGGTGCTGGCTCAGTGAGCAAAAGCTCTCCAAACTCATCCCTAGGACTGCTTTTTTTGGCTGTTTTCACCCCGAAAGCCCCTGGCCACGAGCTGGGGGGAAGAAGTGTAACTCCTGCTGTGTCTCCCCAGCCAGGACCCTGCCACCCTGTCCCGTTTCGGCATCGCGGACCTGCTGCCGGACCTGCAGCACATCCTCTTCTGGATGTCCAACGCCATCGAGGTCCTCTACTTCGTGCAGCAGAAGTCGCCCACCTACATCCAGAGCATGGAGGAGGAGCTGGACGTCAAAGGTGGGGGGCTCGGGGCTGCTGCTCACCCCGCACGGCCTCTCC